TATACATCTTAGTACAATGATAGTATCTCAGATGCCCGCTGCTTTCGTGTAAGTCAACTTTAAAAAGTACAACAGTGAGATAATTCTAAAGAAAAAAAAAAAAAAGAAAGAAAGAAAAAAGAAAAAGAAAAAGAAAAAGACCCCTTGCTATTCTACTTGAAAACAGACGCTACCTTTCCCCCTGATTTGATTGCAGTCGGTGTGTTCCAAATGATTCCGCCTGTATTCGCTGTCGGTCGAGAGAAGCCAAGAAATTATAAAAAAAGTTTCTGATACGGAGTGCTTGAAGAAACATTCCGCATCCTAAAATCAGCCCGACTAATGTCATCGTTGGTCGCCGTACGCCTTCTCTCTATCTCTCGCACAACAGGCTTATCTATTTGGAACCTCCGCTTCAATCTGCGATATCCTGTCATTTATCTACATGTTGTCTTAATTTGGCCCGGGAGCTTACGCTTACCCTCACTTTACAACAGTCTCCCCTGACCAGCTCCGAGCGGATCATCAACCTTCGCCGCCTCCGTTCCGTTGGTCGTCGCGATTTTTTGTCGGTGAATATGTCTTACTACGAACCTCAAGGTTGGCAGGCGCCCGCTGCGCGCCAGGTATCTTGGGAGCAACCTGTTCCCCCGTCGCGTTCAGGTATGATTTGATCATAAGCCTCGGCGATGATACTCTTGCCCTACACAGTGAAGCTAATGCTCCGACTTTCAGGATCGAGCTCTGTCTCTCAACGCGACGAAGTTCCTGCCTTTTCCTCTCAGTTTGACGGTATGACCGTGTCTTCCCCATTTTGTCATATGCTCCAACGTTAGCTTGAGAAGCACAATGTGCGAAATACTGGCTATTGGTGGTTTTGGTCGGGCATTCTGATGTGGTCGCCTATCACGTCATGCTGGTTACCGTGGATTGTTATCGGCACTCTGTGTCGCCGAAGAAACAGAGTCGAACAATTGCTGACTCCCTTTCCCTAGAGGTGGATCGTGCTATCGACAACCTTGTCAAGAGCGGAAAATTGTGGTCTGCTCCCCGGAGGGACTCAATGCCCATGATGATGGGCCGTCCATTTCCCGACTACGGTATGAAACCTTAAGACTGCTTTATTGTCACCAATCGATATCTAAACATGGTTGCAGATCCCCGTGTGTCCAATACTATGTCCCAGCGTCACCACTCGATTAGCGACTTCGACGGAGCCAGGATGCACCCGAACCCCAACCTTCAGGGGTTCTATGCCTCCCAGCGTTTTCAGGGACGCCCAAATGAAGTAGAGCACATGATGCAAGCAAAGCGTCGGATGGCGGCACAGCGTGAAAGGGAGCTCCGCAACTATCACCAGGAGCAACAGTACAACCGAAGTACGTGGTAGCATTTGTCTTTGGAGCTTTTTTTCCTTTTTTTTTGGCTTCTTTCTCCAATATTCCCCATGACTTCTTCCTTTGCCCACATGTATCGGTTGCATTGTATAATACATTGGGACGTGGTTCCTTTCTTGAACATGAGTTTTAATATTCCTCTCTTTTCTCAAAGGCCTGCTTGCCGAAATGTCTGGAAACAAGTCCGATCGTTCGCTCAGTCCGGCCGCCATGAGCGAAGAAAGCCGTCGAGAACTCCTAGCTCGCCAGCATAGGGCTTTGTACGGCAACGAAAGCCCCGCCTTCTTCCCGCCTGGCAGTTTTGCGGATGACAACCCACGAGCGGAGAGCCAGGAGGGTGGAACCCCGACATCTGCCACTGGTGTCCGTGGCCCATCTCCGCGCGGTGTTGATCCTTTCGGCATGGCCCAGACCCCAGTCCAAGGTAGCACTGATAACGTTACTCAAACCGGCGCGTCTCTTCAATCTCCTTCCCGCGCAACCAGTACGTCCTCGCCGAGCTCGGGCATTAACCCTGTCTTCGGCAAGTATGACAACGCCGAGCAACCGATGACCTCGACCTCTTCACCCGGGAGAGCTGACTCGCCTTCCGCGAGGCAGGTGCATTCGAAGCCAACCAGCGGTCCCATTGGCTCCGTCGGCCCTATCGGATCTCGCCCGGTCCAGCCGGCGGGTCAAGCTCAGGCTGCCAACCCGGCACTGAACAAACGCTCCACGACACCCCTGCCGTCTCCTCTTGGTTTCGGCTTCACACCCAGTGACGCAGGCGCAACCAATGATCGTTCTGCCTCGTCGGCCTCGAACCCTTCCACCTCCGCTTCTGCGGGAACACCTGGTGTGAAAGAGTCTACTGGTGGTGTGGCGCTCGGATGGGGTAATAGCGGCAGCGTTTGGGGATCGAAGAACGGACTAGGCGTCCAAGCTTCCGTCTGGGGTTGATTTACGAACCAAATGATTTGGCTCCGATTGACGCTTGCTTCATCATTCAATATGCGTTCGCTTCTATGTCGTGGCGTTATAAGAGAGGGTTCTATTTATGATTCAAATCTTGGGAAACAGCATGGTACATATATGGGAGAAGTGGTGCAAGAATACGTTGTTTAGCGCTCCGTCATATGTGGACAGTTAATTGGTACAGGTTGGTTTACTGACTATGGAACTTGGTTGGCCTGTTGGTTACTGGAGTCGGTATTCCCCCTTGGTGTGCTTTTGGCATTTGCGAGTTCATTCATCTTTTATCTCCATGTCTGGTAACTTGGTCTCTGTGACGGTTTCCTTGCATTTGTTCCATGTTTTCACTTTTGGATATTTCATTGGCATTTACGGCCTTGTTCTTTTTCTTGGTTGGGGTTTGTATTTACGTGCTTGTGAGTGTATGTCTCGGGCTCTTGTTTCCAGCTCATTCGGGAAGGTTTCTGGTGTTACATGTCATCGTTCGGGTCTGGTTGTGAGTTTTGCCAAAGCATGCGATTCTTTAATTTGCGATAGGTATGGGCACCAAAAGGTTGAGTTTCTCTTTTTTTTTCTTCTGTCACCTTGGTTCTTCTTAACTTGGAGCATGGGCATCGGAACATAAGGGGAGCAGGGAAACATAAAAAGAGTTATCGGAGTCTGATCTGCACTTAGGTTCTGGTATGTCATTTTGGATTTTCATATCGATTTTGGTTTCCCACTGGTTTTGTCTTGTGTTCTGTTTTCATATATTTATTCTCCAATCCATTCGATCCTTCTCTTTATATGCAGGTCTGGTTTTCTAATTGGCATATCTCATGATACGAAGTCACGTCTCCCATACATTTAATCTGAGGTTCCGGCATCAAGTTATAGTAGACACAAGCGAATTTTGCTTAATTATACCAAAATCTCTGGTGTATATTCGAGAGAACATAGAGATAGCATTATGTTAGAGAAACAAAGATGAGATAAAAAAGCAATAACTTTTAAACAATAGCACACCACACATCAGCGCGATAACCGTTGTACGGAGATCATAGAGTGATGAAGCGATATATAGAGCGGAATTAAAGGTCGAATGTGAAGAGTAAAATATTCGCAAAACAAGAGAAAAAAAACGATAATAAACCCCAAACGCCTCCCTAAACCGGACTAGTATGTGACGTGAGAGGATCATTATTGGCCGTGGCAGAATCATGAGTCGTAGAATTAGGATTATGATTAGGCGCGACAGCCTCAGTATCAATCATTCTCTTCGCAGTGAACAGACCCGATACACCACGTTCCTGGTTCTTACCCAGCCAAGGTTTGCGCGCTTCGCCCAGGACCCGACGGCCAAGGAAATAGATCAGCTGACCGACGATAATAAGCACGAAGGCGATCGGATACATGAAGTGAATAGTGTAGTGGAAGACCTTGATGCCGATGATGACGCCCCAGAAGTTCATGGTCAGCATGGAGATGTTGAAGAAAGCAGCGGACGACAAGCGGAAGAGGAGCGGAGCCATGCAGTAGAAAAAGGTCAGGCAGAGGGTGTATCCGGCGAGATAACCACCGACTTGGCTGTTCCAGGTGGCGGTTCTGAACGAGGCACGGTCGAAGATGCCGGCCTGGGCGCCGTTGATGATCATGCCCCAGAAAGCCATCTGGCCCAACACTTCGTAGACGGGTGCTGTACTGACGAAGTACTCTTCACCGGTGTTGGCGAGACCGTAGAAAGTTGCGCCTAGGAGGGCGAACAGGTCACCTTTGAGTTGGTTGCCGCTGCTGATATCGCCGCCGTTGGTGCCGGTGATATGGTCGGATGCGATCAGGACGCCCATGCCGCCGATACAGACCAGGATACCCAGGACTTGCGTGATGTGATAGCGGACGCGTAAGAACAGGAACGAGATGATGACGACGACTGCAATAGCCCAGAAATTGATTAACTGTGCACTAAGCATAGTTGTGTATCGGTATGCCAGCACAATGAAATAATTGCCTTCGACGTCGCAAAACGCTAAAATAATATCTAAATCGCAAAGATTCTGATAGTTAGATACAGCTAGTTCCGTGTACAGCAACATGGAGCTTTGCTTACATTTCCAGCCGGTTTTCCACACCATTTGGGCCCAGCCCTTGATGCCGTAACGGTACATGGTGTACGGAGTGAACATGATGTTCAGCAGCACATAATTGAAGAAAGTCTGGAAAGCCGGGATTGAGGTGCCTTCGTCTGAAAGGAGTGTACTGAAAGTACTAGTAGCTGTGTTTGTGATTGCCAAGACCTGTCTGTGGTAAAATGTAAGACACTGGCCGTTAAGACCAAGGCTCGAATTAGGAAAATTCGCAACTTACCCAAGTATCAGAATTATATAGAACTCCTTTGTCGTAAAATACGCCAGGAATCCTTTCTTTTTCTTGTCGATCTGGTCCGCAGGAACCTCCTCCGAGGCAGAGTTCACTTCATGAGCATTTGCACCTACACCCGCCGAAGTATCGTCCTTCGGAAATTGGGCAAGCGAGGAGTTATCATGCGGAGTTGCGGCCGACGCTTGAACGGTGATTTGATCTTTGACGTCCGACATGATGAGATCAGCGTACTGACTGTCCGAGCAATTTTGAGAAGGCGAAATTAAACGTTATCTAGAGTGGTTCTCGACGATCGAGATAGTGGGGTATGGGTTAATAAGCGTGAATGGGAGCTTTTGAAGACCTAAACGAGCGCAAAACTCCCGGAAGTCGCTCGCCTATGGTCTCTGAATGTTTCAACTCAGAAGAAGTTGTGTAAATAAAGACGAGAGGAGAAGGAGGGGAGAAGGAAAAAAATCTCGTGGGCAATGGTCCAGGCGGCGGAAGAACTGAGCCTATCCTGATTGGGGAATTTTCGCCAGTGGCCCCATCGATTGGACGATATCCGCTCGGGAGACCTCGTGGAGGTCCTGGCCAATCATTGCCATAGCTACCCCACTGTGTAATTAGCTAATTTCAATACGAGTGGATGGAGCGGATCTGTCCGACGCCAGTCCGTCCACTATCCATCCTTGGCGGCCAATCAGCGAATGGGAAGCCTGAGAGCATGACGGGGCGGGAGAACAGAGCACACACCTTATATCCTGATGGTGCAAAACGCTCAGACCCCGATAGTTCACTATCAGAGGTACCGGTGTATCACTACTAATCCTGGTCGCGATCACAGGTGATGAGCATGCTGCAGAGCTTTATAGGCGAGGAGCTACCTAGCATCAGCAAGGGAGAAAGTGCGAAGGCTGTTCTTGCATGGATTAGTCGCTCAATCCCGTATACCATTGCTCAACGTACGCTAGGCATCATCGTAGATCACTTACCCACAAGGAAGTCAAAACATATGCTTCACCGTTCATTGTCGCTGGGCATCAGGGAACCTAGTTCATAAGATAAAACAACGTGCTATGATCTCATTCTGTCATGCTCACATGACCTTCTATTGATGCCTCAGGACATAATAATAGACTTTAAATTAAGGTGGCAATGACCTCATTGACTGCAGTCCCGCTTTTTTCTGGAAAAAGCCATAGCCTGAACCTTGAAGATATGGTCGGAAAGATTTTGAAGTTGATGGAAGGGTGTATGTATTATTGGCTATCGTCTTGACTATCATTCTGATAGCTCCTGCGGAAATGACAAAACCCTCCCCATCACCGCTTTTTTTTTCCCCCTATCCCTTAGTGGTTGTTAAGTTGGGAGGAGGGTCGTGCTGAGAAGACTTAATGTCACATTCATTAGCAGGGCACCTCTCGGTAGGGAAAGAGATACTTGACATGGTGATCGGGTGATGAGTATTGGCCATGACAGACGGTAGTAGTACTAGTAGTACTACTGATGCCTAGTGCATGCATAGATGTAAGCCACACGATCAATGATAAGCATCCACGGATACAACTACTATATGCAACGTGAGATAATATGTTTCAAAATACCTTGTTCAGACAATTCAGTTCTTCCGTGCTGAAAACCCCGATTGGGAGCTTGAGTTGCATTCAACCTTGAAGGTCCCATTTGAGGTTCCATGGGTAAAGCGGGGGGGAAGGATTTGGGTTGGGGAAGTTTCCGAAAAGAGACCTACCTAACTAGGAGGAGTCCCTGCTATTCTTAGCTGACAAGTAGAGTTCTATATAAGGCAGAACGGGAATAGCCCTTAATCAACATGGCCTAGACCTTTTGCCCTCTATTTATCCACCCCTGAGCATTGTCTGACAGGATATACATACATACATACATACACACAAGTACATCTTAATTATGCACAATATAATGATATTCAATCCTGTTGGGACTAACATATATAATGCATAACTATAATTAATTGAGGAATCATTACTGTTGCGAATCATAGGCCAAATGTACTGCACTATCAACATTTTCCCATACATGAATCATGGAGATCGCCCTCTTTCATTTCCCCTAGAGGAGTTTGCCTCATGTTTCTGCTTACCTTATTTCTAATGGTTTGTTTTTACAACCTTTTCCGAGATGATTTCTATTCTCAGGTTGTGTGAAAACCGCGGGTGCACGTCATTCCATCCACTCATTGCCTTGCAGATCCCCGTAGTTTGCCAGCTTCTCTCCTTTCTCGAAACCACTCTCTTCGATCAGTGCTTCAAACTATCCTCCTTTCACCTTAAATCGGAGGCCCCCCAGATACACTTGGCTCTTTCTTATCTCATTTACTGGTTACTTTTTTTTTTATTGTTGATTATTTGTAGAAAGTAGATCTTCCGGAGATTTTCAAGAATCTCGATACTGAACCCCACACCTGATCAGGCAAGGGTTGGGTACCTTAAATCATTTACAGCAGTTTCAGCTCTTTTGGTGTTCGTCCCTTTTCGGTCGCGTGTGCTGGTTTTGGTTTTCCATTGTTGCGCGCCGCCAACCCCAAAAGCCTTTAAAAAAGGGAAAAGAAAAAAAAAAAAAAAGAAAAAAAGGGAAAAAAAAATAGTGGCCGACCGCTACCGAGGCCGTCAGGTGGTCCCGACCCAAACTCAGGATCATCATTCATCATCCGCAGCAAAAGCAGCAAAGTGTGTGCCATCCCCATTATCACCTGTGACCTACTCGTCTTTCCGATCCGTCCATCTTTTTCATCATCCCCATCACAATTCTTTCCACCCCCATTCATACTTCTTCCATTTAATCCCGACCGCAACCCCTCGTCCAATCCGGACAAGGCAGCGGCTCACTCTTATCTCTCCCGCAACTTCGGGCCTCTCTGCGCGCCGGTGCACTCGTTCCTGAGTTGTCCCGGAGTGACGAGACGCCACCTCCCCCCTGTTGCCAGATCATGGCGTTGGAGGTGCAGCCGCCCAGCGATCGCAAACGAGTCAAGGTCTACGAACTGAGAGATAACGACTGGTTTGATAGAGGTACTGGTTTTTGTACTGGGGAGTTCCTGGACGTAAGTTTCATCGCATGGGGGATCGTCCGTCCAGCGCGACATCGGTCGTCGGGCGCAAACGCTACGGGTCGCGCTTTCTCAAACATTCATCCCGGTCGCTGACATCCCCACTCTATCTTCCTGCAGGATGAACCGCGAATATTTGTCCAATCTGAAGATGAACCCGAACGAGTACTTTTGGAGACAAAAATCTCTAAAGATGATGGGTACCAGAAACAGCAAGGTTCCATCCTCCCATCGCCCTCCGCATCGCAAACTTAAATAGGGAAGATACTAACACTCGTGCGACACTACTAGAGACCTTGATAGTATGGACGGAGCCCAATGGGACGGACATGGCATTGAGCTTCCAGGAACCTGATGGTTGCGCCGTGATTTGGTAGGGCATCGCTCGGACATTGTGACTCAGTGTCCTTTTCTCTTGGCTGACAACAATCGCGAAAGGAATTTTGTCAATGGCGTTCAGCAACATCTTACGAACCTGGCACCAGCAGGTAGACACCCGGCGTTCTTATTTCGTCTGCCATTGGCAAATTGGTTGACTCTCGTTACTGACATGGGGCTCTCCCCTAGACGATGCATTTTCCGACGATCTCGAAACCTATCAGTCGATAATGTTACCCGCTCCCGAGCTCGGAAACCTCCCCGAAATTGACCATGTTATGAGAGCAGCCAGCATGACACAAGCCGGCCGAGATGCATTGTCGAAGTTTGTTATCCGGGAAGAGTACATAACAAAGCTCATACCATTGGTCACGAGGGCAGAAGGTCTCGAGAACCTGCTGGACCTACACCGTCTCTGCAATATCATGAAATCCCTCATTCTCCTTAATGACAATACTATTATCGAGACCGTCGTTACAGATCCCATTATTCTGGGAGTTGTGGGGGCGCTGGAATGTACGTGATACGGGGTTTGTTGTATCATAGTGTGATTGCTAATGAGATCTTAGACGACCCTGAGTTTCCTACACACAAAGCCAACCATCGGCAATACCTTGCAGACCAGTCACGCTACAAAGAGGTGGTCCCGATTAAAGATGCTCTCATCCGTCGCAAAATCCGATACACCTGGCGTTTGCAATATCTAAAGGATGTGGTCTTGGCCCGGATATTAGACGACCCGACTTTCTCGGTTCTCAATTCGTTGATCTTTTTCAACCAGGTCGAAATCGTAAACCATATCCAATCAAACGGTCCTTTCCTGAAGGAAATGTTTTCGGTGTTCGATCCGAGGAATACCGATGCAAAGCGCAAGGAGGATGCAGTGCAGTTCCTCCACCAATGCGCATCCATTGCCAAAAACCTGCAAGCACCGGCGCGCGCCAATCTCTTCGCAAACTTCATCAGCCATGGCCTCTTCGCTGTGATCGCCTTCGCTATAAAGCACCCTAACCCCGCTATGCGCACGACTGGAATCGATATTTTAGTTGCACTGCTCGACCATGATCCTCTCATGATGCGGGGATACATGCTTAAGGCCGTGAATGAGAAGAAGACGCCGCTGACTGATACGTTGATTGATTTGCTTCACTTGGAGTCGGATCTCGGTGTTAAGAATCAACTCGCAGATGCAGTCAAGGTTCTACTGGACCCCCAGATTCTTTTGCAGGACACGATGGGTCGGGCTGGACCCGAACAATACTCGAAGCCACGTCCCAATATCCTCTCTGATGCTTTTGTTCAAAACCACTTTGATGAATCTGCTAAGAGGCTATTCATGCCGTTAAAACGTCTCGAGAACCGCGCCAGCCGTAAGTATTGTTGGTCTACATTAGCCTTAGTCTGCTACGCGGCTAATTCTCCTCGTTTCTTTAGTTAGCGACCTCAAGTTTCAAGAGGTGGCCTTGCATGCTCACCTTGTTGATATCCTTACTTTCTTTGTCCGTCAGCATCTGTACAGAAGTCGTGCTGTCATCCATAATGAAGCACTGGCTCCCAGAGTTGCTCAGTTACTTACAGTGCCCCAGAAGCACCTCAAGCTGAGTAAGTTGGCCTATTCGAAGTCGCATATAGAGACTAGTGTCTAACTGTTTACCTTCGGCATAGTCGCGTTGAAATTTTTCCGTACATTAATTAGCCTCCAAGACACGTTTTACCAAGCTTTGATGACCCATAACAACACGTTTGGTTTGATTCTTGACATTGTATATGAAACAATGCCACGCGATAACCTCCTTAATTCAGCTTGCCTTGAACTCTTCGAATTCATCAAACGAGAAAATATCAAACCCATAGTTCTGCACGTCGTTGAGAAGTACGGTGAAAAGCTCAAGAATATTACCTATGTCAACACATTCCAGGACTTGATTTTACGCTACGAGCAAATGCAGGGCTATGGTACAGAAGTGGAGTCCACTCTCTACTCTCAAGATGAAAGTACACCAGCTCGTCGAGTCCCGCCCAACGGACAACGTTGGCAGGGTGTTAGGGAGATGGATGCGGCAGAGGAAGAGTATTTCAACACGTCTGATGATGAGGAAGAGGTAAGACAATTGATATCCATCTTTAAGGAATATCAATCAGCATACTGAATTTTTTTTTTTGCTAGTGGCAACATGAAACTGTGGCCAGTGCAACAATGGCTCCTCAGATGCAGAACGGTTCCGCCTCACCAGTCGTTAAGCCTCTAGTCGACTATCCAGATGACGATGAGGATGATGATGCTATGGATACGAAGCCGGAGGGTAGTGAAGAGCAGAAGCAGCAACAGTCGATCCGGCAAGAAGGCACCCCAACCCCTGACGCGGCTACCGAGTCTAGCGCTGACGCACCGGCAACTCCTGTTTCATCCACCGTACAGACACCTCCGGAGCGTTTGTCAGAGAAGCGCCGGCGTGAGGAGGAGGACGATGATGAGCTGGTTAAGCTCAGCTCTGGGCCGAAACGAAGGAGCTCGACCAGTGGCAGTCCTGGAGGGGCTGGTATGCTGCGAAAGAAGAGAAGCGTGTCAATTGGATCGCTATCAACTGCTGCTGAAAAAGGAACAACGCAGAGTATCCTGGGAACCGTGACTGGCAGTACAGCACCAAAAAGGATAGCCATCAATCTTAGCTCTAAGCCATCGCCAGAGACGGACTCCACTGATTCTGGGGCAAATACCCCAAGCAGTGAGAAAGAAAACCGTGGCGACAACCACGGTGAAAGTGGTTAACAATTCTCCCGAGATAATTCTCATGCCATTCATGGATTTGGTCGCCTGAGTCGGCTTCCCCGCAAGCATCATTCTCGTTTCGAGTACTTGGAGTTCTATCTGCATTTCCCGCAAACCTCCTAGATACCAGATGAAGTATTGATTTCGTCTTTTTCATTTCTTCATTTTCCCTTTTACTGATTCACAGCATATCTTTGTACGATTCCCTCATCATTAGCTATACTTCTTCGTGCTTTTCTTTTGGCATTCTTAGATATCATGTATTAGGTTTCTAGTTGCTCTGAAGCCTGCGATTTCTGTCTTATTCTTACCTTCTCATCGTCGAAATTTTGGCCTGGTGTACAGCTACCATGTCTTGTCTGTTTCTTTCCCCAATTTTTCTTGTTTTACTTGAGTGTCCTTCCTTTAAGCACCTCATGGGTCATTTGCACTGTCAATGCGTGGCGAAAAAAAAGACAAAATGGATATGCAATCAGAAATGAGGAAGTAGCGCGCATGCTGCCGGCCTCTTGCGTCTGATGGTCGGTGTTGTTCCACCTGGGTCTTTGGCATAACTGGAGCTTTCTGTATTGTTCTTCGGTCTATCTATGGGGTTTAAGGAGCTCTGGTTGATAGGGATGGAGTCTGGCTGGATGCGATGAATTGCGATGAATCACCGTGTGCGTATGTCTGCATTTCAGAGGTTTTGGTCTGGAGGATCTCGTTTCTTTCTGTTCCTTATTATGATTGGGAATGTTTGATGGAGCGGGTTGTCGAGAGAGTTGATATTTGCGTTCTTCTGAGGAGATATTGGTGCACATACTTGTCGGCACAGTAACTCGCTACCTTCACAACGAACCGCGTCTTTGAACTATTGTTGAGAACGACATATCGTATCTGAATGTCTTTAAACTTTGTAATAAGAGTGTTAGTAGTATAATTTGTATGTAAATCGATGTAAATCGGTGCCGAGGCATAACGGGAACACCGATTTCTCCGACCCAATTTTATCGAATTCCATACCCTTTCTACATATGAAACCCACCCATGTACCACCTCAGGTACGCCAATTCGACACGTATAGGGTATAAATATATATTAAAATCATCTGCCGTAAGGCGCATGTGCATGAGCACCATGTCTTCCACCCGACAACCCCATATTTCCGCAGACAGTTTCTTCCACACATCGTCCGCATCCGACCCATCACTGTCCCCCATCACCATCTACATGATATCCGGCAATCCAGGACTAATCGGGTACTACCACACATTTCTCTCCACTCTCTCAGACAAGCTGAACACACAATCCACACAACAAACAAGCAAAAACCATGCCTTCCAAATCTACGGACACAGCCTGGGAGGATTCGAGCTTACCAAAACACCGGGCTCGGAACCAAGGTACTATGACTTGGAAGAACAGATCTGTTTCGTCCAAAACAAGCTGGATGGTTTCCTCACCAACCCCAGCAATGCATCGAACGGGGTCCCAACACCAAGACCTAAAGTGATCCTCATCGGCCATTCGGTGGGTAGCTATATTGCCATGGAGATCCTCCGGAGACACCGCGAGCGCTCGACGAGTAGCACCTCGCCTTCTGTTGATTT